CCATCCCTCAGTTATCCGTACAAACCACCAGATTAAGCAAACTCACCTTGCTCTGCCAGCAGCCAAGTATCTCTTGCTCCTGTTCCCAGTTCTTTGCTGTGCGGAACTTGTTGTTCCTGAGAGAATGAATGTACTCAGCCCAGGTGTGTGACAATGTTTAGAAGAATCCAAAGTCCTCCCCACAATTGCCAGGTCATCAGCTGCTTAGAGCTCTGATTCCCCACTCATATTTACTTCCTGTTTTGGCCAATGAGCTGATTTAGTATGGTTCAATCTGACAAATGTTTAATGGGATCCGTGTGGAAAAGAAAGGTTTCTGGCTGCTCTGAAAGACATAGTACCGAACTGTATGCTGGGTATGCTGTACACAGCCGTAGTGCCAGACGGAAGGACATCACCCACAGCAGAGAGATGGGTGTCTCCCACAGGAGAAGAGGAGAAACTGATTTGTTGGACTTGAAGAGATTAGGGAAGACTTCACACAGAAGATGCCATTTGAAAACAATAAACTGCAATGAGAAAAGGCATGGAGTCACAGCAAATGAAATGAGACTTCTAATCAACTTTGATTTGTCTTTTTTTTTTTTTATCTAAGTCAGAGGCAATAGAAGGTCAGAAACACCAGTGCGAGGGCATCTAACATATCTCTGACATATGTCATGTGAACCGCAGAGGCAAAATTGGTAAGAGCTGCTGCTGTAGGCAATGAGCATCTTATTGGAATAGTCCCTGACACATTTACCTTTCTATGCCTACTGGCATATAATGGGCACTCAATATGATGACTGATTTAATAAATGAAGCTGATGGGATGGCAAAATTTTTTAAGGTGGTCAAGAGAAAGAGCATTACAGGCAGAGGGTATGGAACAGGGCAAAGTCTTGGAGAAGAGACAGTGTAGGACATATTTGTGTTATGGCTCATAGTGAAGGGTATTAAACATGAAAAGGACGAAAAGGTGGCTGCAGTCTCAGATTGCTGGACCTTTGCTTCTCAATTATTTTTATTTTTTAAAATTTTATTTCAATATATTTAGGGTATATTAATTTTTTTTGTCATATGGATGAATTCTGGGCTTTTAGTGTACCTGTCACATGAATAGTGTACATTGTACCCAATAGGTCATCTTTCATCCCTTGCCTCTCCCCTTTCCAAGTCTCCAGTGTCCTTTATACCACTCTGTATGACCAGGCATACCCCTAGCTTAGCTCCTACTTTTTAGCGAGAACATGCAGTATTTGTCTTTTCCTTCCTGAAATACTTCATTTAGAACAGTGGCCTCCAGTTCCATCCATGTTGCTGCAAAAGACATTGTTTCATTCTTTTTTTATGACTGAGTAGTTAGTATTCTGTGGTATATCCATACCACATGTTCTTTATCCACTTATTAGTTTATGCACATTTAGGTTGATTGCATATCTTTGTAATTATGAATTGTGCTGTGATAGACATACATGTACAGGTGTCCCTTGTATATAATGACTTCTTTTCCTTTGAGTAGACACCCAGTAGTGAGATTGCTGAATCCAATGGCAGGTCTACTTTTAGTTCTTTTGTGGAGAAAAATCTAACCCGCCGTTCTGCTTCTGTAAAATCCGCTCGCTCAACCCTACTCCCTTCCCCCGCTGGCATCCCTCCGCTCGCTCAACCCTACTCCCTTCCCCCGCTGGCGTCCCTCCGCTCGCTCAACCCTATTCCCTCCCCCGCTGGCGCCGGCGCCACTCTGTAACTCCCCGAAAACCGCTTGCCGTTAGTCCTTGGAGTTTATTGACCAAGATTAGAAGTTCCCGATATTAGCCCATCTGGTACATGTTTGTGCAAGGTCAAAGCCCATGGAATTTCCCCCCACCCTGTGATCCCTAGCCACCTGCGTGTGGTTTCTGCCTATAAAATCCTAAGGAAAAAAAGGTCGGTGCGGCAGCTTCCCTAGCTCACTTGCCCCTGCGCTGCGCTGGAAATAAATCCTCATGCTTTTGCATCAAGTCTCTGGACTCTGAGTCTTTTTTTAGGCAGTCGTCTCTCCCCCACATGGGCTGTACATTTCTGCGGCCTAACACTTTGAGGAATCTCCATACTGTTTTCTATAGAGGTTGTATTAATTTATATTGCCACCAACAACATATAAGCGGTTCCTTTTCACCACATCTGTGCCAACATCTATTTTTTGACTTTTTAATAATGGCCATTCTGACAGGAGTAAGGTGTTATCTCATTGTGGTTTTAATTTGCATGTTTCTGATGATTAGTGATGTTGAGTATTTTTTCATATATCTGTTGGCCATTTGTATGGGCTCCAGCTCCTAGAGCATATAAGATGCAAATATAAACTATTTTTAAAACAACTGTTGTTGTTTCTTAAAAATTCAGTGAAATTAAATGAGCTCCTATGTCAGAATATCATCTTTCTGTGGATTAGATCCCTCACCAAGGCAGGTACATGGAGGTGTCTACTGGCCACAGAAAAGAGCCACTCAGTTCCGGGTGGTTCTCCTGGGCATTAGTGGCCTCTTTTGTAATTTGGCTGCATCTTCAGACTGACCCCCAACTGGCAGCACTTTGCTGCAATGCTTCGATATGCATTGCTCTCCATGCTGCAGCAATGCTTGGGGAACCTGAGGCTTCTGGTCTCATCTCCCTCTAGGGTTCTAATGTTTGGGCCTGCAGTCAGTGGTGAGATCTTATCTCTTGCAAGCTCTGGCCTGCAGGGGTGGTCCATCGTCCCTTTCTGCATGACCATATAGCCATGTCTTCTCCTAACATTGCTGGCTTTTGTCCTAGTTGTTCTGGAGCATGTCAACAAGTCCTATCTTGGTCCCAAAGATTACCAGTGGGGAACAGGATTGTTCCTGTAGATACCCACAAACTTTACAGCAGCTTCTCCTCTCCCCTCCAGCGTCAGAGAGTAGAAAACTCAAATGCCACACTCCTACTCCTAGGTGTGAGCATAACCTCCCTTCATAAACAACTAACACCCTCCAGGGAGCTGGAGAAATATAGTGCTCATTATAGTGAAAAGGCACCTGCGTCACTTTCCTAGGGCTGCTATAACCAAGTATCACAAACTGAGTAGCTTAGAACAGCAGGAATTTGCTGTCTCACTGCTTTGGAGGCTGGGAGTCCAAATCCAAGGTATTGGCAGGGTCATGCTGCCTCTGAAACCTGTAGAAGAAAAATCCTTCCTTACCTTTTCCCAGCTTCTGGTGGTTTGCTGGCAATCTCTGGCATTTCTTGGCTTGTAGATACACCACTCTAATCCTTCATCTGCACATGATATTCTCTCACTGTGTCTTCATATCATCATCCCTCTGTACATGCCTGTGTCTGTGTCCAAATTTCCCTCTTTTATAAGGACACCAGCGATACTGGATTAGGGTCCACCCTAGAGACCTCATTTTAACTTGACTGGCTCTATAAAGACCGTATTTCTAAATAAGGTCACATTCTGAGGTACTGGGGGTTAGCGCTTTGACATGTCTTATGTGGGGGACCCAATTCAATCCATAACAGCCCCTTTCAGCAAGCTCACAAGTGGTTTTCTGGACTTAAAATATTAAGTACATCTTGTGCTTTCATAGGTGGGCTCTAGTTGACAATTCTTGGAAAATAGAAAAAATTCAATCTAGCTTCCTATATCATCCTGCTATTGATACAATGATAGGGCTAATAAATGATAAATAATAATTCTTTGAGGGATTACTATGCGTTAGGAGCTAATCTAAGCTTTTAAAATGATACATTGTCATTTAATTCTCCCATCTACTCTGTGGGCCAGGGACTGTTATTTCTGTTTTGCAGGAGAGGCAACACAAGCACAGATAAATCGAGAGTGTTGCTATTGCTCGTTGACATCGTGCCTCCTTCCAAAGCTAGAATTTCTTCTCTTGAATGAAGGAGCCCCTTCATTCGGGCCAGTCTCTTCCAATCTGAGATACAGTGGGCATGCAACTCCCACAGGGGTAGGAGAGGCTGTATTTACCCCTGCTAACCCATAATGGCTTTTAGATGAAGGGAACCCACAATGGCTTTTATATTAAATGGCTTTAATAAGGAGGGAAGAGTCAACTATGATCACACTGCATCCTTTATTGACGAACTAAGAAAAAGGAGTACTGGGAAGGACTTCATTAGAAGATATTTTCCATGAGGCCTCTTGAAAAAAAAATTACAGAGTTCTTCACTGATTCACAACGTTTCTTTCATCCTTGACTGGAGTCTCTGTGGCTGTTTTCAAATTCTGAGGGTTGGATTCTGGTGGTGGGGCTTCCGTGGGTTCTAGTGTTGAAATTTCCGAGGTTAAGGAGCCTGAGGTGAATTGAGTAATAGCAAATTGGTCATTATTGTATTCTAAAATAAGAGCCTTTCCCTGAACCACTGAGTCAAAACAAGACACACACACACACACACACACACACACACACAAACCCCCAAAACAACAAACAAACAAATACGTAAACCTAGAATGTGATCAGTTAAAACCATACTGAGAAGACAGCACCTACTTGTCCTGGGGACCCAGGCATTGGCACGTCCAACCTATGGCCTGCCAGATACCAGAGGTTTCAACGAACTACAGCAACCATATTAAATTATTCTTCTTCTCAGTATGACTTTAACCTTCAGCTGGAGTCTGGAGAGTCTAAGATTCCCCTTGGGTCCTCAACTTCATGTTTTAGGTCAGAAGAGAAAAATCTGAACAACCAATCGAGTGAAGAGCCGTCTGGCTCAGACTACAGACTTCCGGGAGTCGTTGCAGAAGGCGTTCTAATGAAAACAGTGTCATTCTTTCCCGGAGCAAAACTCTATTTTGTTTTCTGTGCTTTGTTTTTATGCAGAATATGATGCTATGTAAGCACTCGTACACACAAAAATGAAAATACGTGAACATTATGAAATGTTTCCTTATCAAATGAAATACAGGTCAGTATGTAAAGCTATGTTCAACAGTTATTGAGCAGTATGGGAATTAGAAATAAAAGATAAGCGTTTTAGGAAACTAAGTTTGGGAATTAGAAATAAAAGATAAGCATTTTAGGAAACTAAGTTTGGGAATTAGAAATAAAAGATAAGTGTTTTAGGAAACTAAGTTTGGTTAATATAAGATCTTAGTTATCTAGCAAGATTGAGTATGAAACTAACTAATGTCCAAAACATTTATAAACTTTCTAAATACCTTTCGAATTTATCCTCTTCTCCTTACTTATCAGTGTTTGAGTTTAGGTACCTGGATGGCCTGTTGGAGCAACCATCTAATTATCTCTATGTCTAGACTTGCACTTCTCCCATTCTGTCTCTATTCTCCTGCCAGAAAGACTGGGAACACTATGGTTGACTCCCTCAAAATCATCCTGCTACCCATGGTTTGTCTAAATCCTTCACGAATATTTCATTCCCTTTGCTATTATTCAGTTCAGAGATAAACCTGAGGCAATTGGGCCAACGTGCAGAAAAGAGAGGCTTCCTCGTGGCTTCTGAGAAAGAGAAGCTAGTTTCTCCTGTTGGATATGAACCAAGTCATCTTACGATTACAAGGTGATTTCTGATTGATTTAGCAGTTTGAGTTGGGGGAAGGGGATGTCTGTAATTTGCTGCAGAAAAGATTCTAACGGAAATAATTATGTAAATGAAAAATTTCATCAAGAAATACTGCTGTGAAAAAAGCACTTCAAGAGCACCCTGGTACCTACAGACTAAATTCAAAAATTTTTACTAAGGTAGTGAAGCCTCATTGGGATCTGGTCTCAGTTTACCACTCCAGCCTCATTTTCCACTACTTTCCTGTCCCACAGGAATTCCATCAATATGTCATTCTTTGGCTCCAGGCAGAGTTTTAAGTTGACATGAAACTGCAGATTTTTGGGGGGAACTTATCTATTTTGAAAGGATTTAGGCAAACTGATTAGGGAAGGAAATAAAATCGTCAGCCATTACAATCTACTTCCTTCCATCACCATTCAGTGACTGTGCTTCTGTCCATTATTATATCAATGCAGTGTATGATATTGACTGAGTTTTGTATGTTAAACTAACTTTGAATTCCTACGGTGGATCCTACTCCGACATGGTGTATAGTCCTTTTCACACGTTGCCGGATTTGGTTTGCTAGTTTGTTGTTGTTGTTGGGAATTTTTGTATCTATATTGACCAGGGATGTTGAGCTGTAGCTTTCTTTCCTTAGCCAATTTATCTATTTTTTTCTTTTGTTGATTGTGCTTTTGATGTCATATCGAATACATGGTTACCTAACCCAGGTCACAAAGAATTATACCTATATTTTCTTCTAAGAGTTTTATAGTGTTAGCTCTTAAATCCAGGTCCATGTGCATTTTGAGTTAATTTGTGTATATTATGTGAGGTAGTGGTCTAACTTCATTGTTTTGTACATGGATATCCAGTTGTCCCAGCCCCATCTGTGGGGAGAGACTGTTATTTCCTCATTGAATTGTCTTGACATTCTAGTCAAAAATCAATCAGCCATGTAAGAATTTATATGTAAAAACTTATTTTTGGACTCTTGACTCTATTCTAGTCTTTATTGTTTTCACTTTAGGTTTAGTTTTCTCTTCTTTTCCTGATTCCCTAAGGTGGAAGGGTCAGCTTTTTGATTTGAGACATTTATTCTTCTTAAAGTATAGTATTTACAGCTATGAATTTCCCAATATTGCTTCAAAAAGTCATCGTGCTACTTTCCCTTTCCCTCTCTGTCCTCTCCTTGTGTGATGACCGGATGCACATTTTGGAGTGCTGGGAGGTGTTGCAAAGGAGTCTGAAACCCTGTTCATTTTTTTGTTCATTTGTTTTCATTCGGTTCCACAGACTGGATGATTTTAATTGAACTGCCTTCAAGTTTGTGGATTATTTCTTCTGCCAGCTCAAGTTTTCTGTTGAGCCCCCTGAATAAATTTTCATTTTAGTTTTTCTACTTTTCTGCTATAGATTTCTATTTGGTTCTTTGAAAAAATAGTTTCTAGGTCTTTACTGGTATTCTCTTTTTGGTGAGACACTGCTGTCATACTTTCCTTTAGTCTTTTTAGACTCTTTTTTTTTTTTAGTTCTTTGAGCATGATTTAAAGTTCTTTTTTTTTTTTCTAGTAACTTCAACATTTAGATTTCCTCAGAGGAAAGTTTTTTATTGATTGTGTTTTCCCTTGTGTTTAGGCTATACTTTTCTGTTTCTTTGTATATTTCATATATTTTTTATTATTGTTTTTTTTTAATTTTTCTATTTTTTTTTATTTCGGCATATTATGGGGGAACAGATTTTAAAGTTTCAATAAATGCCCTTCCCCCCCACAAGTCTGAGTTTCCAGCATGACCATCCCCCAGATGGTGCACATCTCACTCCTTATGTATATATTATCCCGCCCCCCCTCCCACCTGCCAATACCCTATTACTGTAGCACCTATGTGTCCACTTAGGTGCTACTCAGTTAATACCAGTTTGCTGGAGAATATATCTGGTGCTTGTTTTTCCATTCTTGGGATACTTCACTTAGTAGTATGGGTTCCAGCTCTAACCAGGAAAATATAAGATGTGCTATATCACCGTTGTTTCTTAGAGCTGAATAGTACTCCATGGTATACATATACCGCATTTTATTAATCCATTCTTGGATTGATGGGCACTATTTCATATTTTGTCTTGTTCAAAAGTATACATTTAAAATAATATAGTACGGCAGCATTGGAAATGATAGCCCTTCAGGGGTGGATCTTTGTTGTTATTTTTGTTTTTCTGCTTTGCTAACTAAGTGGCCAGCTAATGATTGGACATAGATTTTCTCAATTCCTTTGAATCAATACATTTCCCAGTCTTTGCTGAGAGGTTGTGTGTGTGTGTGCGTGTGTGTGTGCGCGCGCGTGCGTGTGTGTGTGTGTGTGTGTGTGCTGGGCCAAGCCTTTACAGCTCTGGGAGGCAGTTTGCAACTCTGCCTTAGCCATCACTTCCTGCTTGCAGGGATCTTCAGGTCAGCCAGAGGTGGGGGATTAGGGCATTCTAAGGCGTTTTCTTGGCATGCACACATCCTTGCATATATATGTGGCCTTTTATATTTCCATGTACTGTCACAGTTTCAAAATCTTCTATGGATGTCTTACTCCTCAGGGCTTTTATTTTTTTTTTCTTTTTCTTTTTTAATTTGACTTGTTTTCCTCAAACTGTTATCTCTGCCTCACACAGCTGTGATGTTAAATGCCACTGATTGTTCTGGTAAACATTCCAGGGAGAAAAGCTGTTGGCAATGATCAAGCTCTGAGTGAGGTCAAATTAAGAAGAGCCTTGCTAGTGGGGATTTCTGGGGCGACGCCAGACAAGTCAGTAACAATTCTCTGAGAATGGGGCTTTTCAGAGGACCTCTAATCTTATTTTGCCCCTTCCTGTGTTTGCTAGGCTGGTGTTTTTCACAGGTACTGTGGTTGCAAGGTTGTTACTTTTAAAGGCTATTGTGGAGATGGGCTAGGGGGCTGGGAATAGGGCAAGGCATGGCAGCATGAGGGTCACTGTTCTTACCAAGATTCAGCCATTTTACTTGAGTAAATGCATGCAGTGTTCCCATATCACCGGCATGACCCCTGAGACCTCTTTGGTCTCTGTGTTTTCTCTATTAATCTTATGGGGGATGTAAGTCTAAAAGACTTCTCCCACATGGTTTGCCAGGGCAAGTTGTTTGACTGTAATTTCACGCATTGTCAAGCAGGAGGTATTTCAGCAGGTTTTGAGTAGCTCTTTGCCTTACTTCAGAGCAATCCTTCTGTTCCCCAACTTTAAACTTCAGACTCTCAGGAAAGGCTCCTAAAAGAAACTGTTTTATCTTGATTTGACAGCCAGAAACAAAATTACTCACTTTCTTCAGTGGGTTGTTCCTTGCGTAATGCTAGTCTAAGCCAGTCGATACTTATGACTGCAATGACCATCTCTGCGATGGTGCAGAATAATAAATATTGTAAAAGCATCAAACAAGTCATCTGAATGAAAAAAGAGAAATATACCTCATATTAATCAACCATTTAAAGGCTATACAAGATCAAAGTTTAGAAAATAGAGAATAAATATTCATCCTAGCAGTCTCACACACCTAGAATTACTGTGGGGTATTTTTCGTAGCAACTATATATGTTTTAAATTTATTGAGTACCAAGTATTATGTTAAGCACTTATTTCTAGCAACAACCTTACAAGTTACACACTTTTGTTTCTATTTTATATATGGTGAGACTTAAAAATAGATAACTGATAGTACCGTGGTCTGCTGGAGTTTTTCAAGGTTTGACACGGAGTGCCCGTCTTTTCTCTTTATACTTTTTTGTTGTTGTTTTGGTGAGACTGATTGGATGTTCTGTGCTTCATGCTGTTCCCTTCAGTGCATATATAATTTCATGTTTTATGTTCTTTTAATTTATGTGTTATAAGCACTATTTCATGAATTAAGTGGAACCATTCTCTCTCTCTTTCCAAATTCTTACCATAGCCCAAAGAAGGAGTTTCTTCTCTCTTAGAAATAGGGGGAAATGGCTTCTGGTGTTTCTCAGTGCTCTTCACTTACAATTTCCTTGTGAAGAAAAGAGACTTATCTAATTGGTGATTTTGAGAGAAGGGACCTAGTGCCTTCTGGGTTCTCTTTTTTCAGAATGAGCTGTGTTTATAACCACAAGACTTTCTTCCCAACATCTGATAATTGACTCCAGTATAGGGAGGCCTATATAGGCTGTGGTCTATCTGTAATTAGGTGAACGAGTTTAATTTATGAAAGGAGGTATTAATTAGTAAGCTTATTTGGTTAAAGATTTAAAACTTGTTCTCCAAGTATAATAATCAATAATAAAGCCAACAGTTTTGTCTACATCTACTTGATTCTTGTGTCTTATCTCAGTAGGTTCAGAACACAAGAGAAGAAGATTAGGTGGTTATTTATTGGCCACCTATATTTGTTTCCTAGGGCTGTTGTAATAAAGTAACACAAATAGGGTGGCTTAACACAACAAACATTTATTGTCTCACAGTCGCAGAAGCTAAAAGTCAAAAATCAATGTGTTGGCAGGACCATGCTCCCTCTGAAGCTTCCAGAAGAGAATCTTTCCTTGCCTCTTCCAGATTCTGGTAGCCCCAGGTGTTCCTTCGCTTGTAGCAGCATAACTCCTATCTCTGCCTCTATGTTCACATGGTCTTCTTCTTTATGTGCCTGTATCAGAATTTCCCTCTTATAGGAACACCAGTCATATTGGATTAACGGCCTACCTTACTCCAGTATGACCTCATTTTAACTAATTACACATGCAATAATCTCATTTCCCCAAAGTGTCACATTCTGAGGTCCTGTGGGTTGGGACTTCAACATATCTTTTTCGGGGACACAATTCAACCCATAATAGTCTGCCTCTAGTACCCTCCAATTCATGCCCTTCCCATGTGCAAAATATATTCACCTGACCCCAACATCTCCAAAAGTTTTAAACCAATTCCAACATCAACAATGAAGTCCAAAATCTGTCTGAAATACCATAAAATCAAAAAGTCCCAAATCTCATCAGCGGAATCAGTTATGGGTGAAACTTATATGAATAATATGGTTCATTCTGGGGCAAAATTCCTCTCCATCTATGGACTTGTGAAACCAGAGAAAAATTTGTCTGCTTCTAAGATACAATGGTGACACAAGCCTAGGATGTGTATTTCCATTCCAAAAGGAAGAAATAAGAAGGAAAAAAAAGGGGTCATGGTCCCTAAGCAAGTCCAAAACCCAACAGGGCAAATTTTGTTAGATTTCAAGGCCCAGGAATAATCCTCTGTGGCTCATCCTCTGGGCCTGCTGGGGAGACAGCACTACTTTTTGACCCATTAGAGTGGTGGCCCGACTCTCTTAGCCCACTGGGGCAGTGTTCTTACTCTTTAGTTTATTGCTGTCCCAGCCTGTATTATGTAAAAAGTGAAAATATTTGTAGCCTGAAATGTGTCTCTTTTTCACTTTTACTTCTCGTTTTCTCTCTTGCTTGTGTAACTAATATATTGATTCTACATTTTATGTTGATTTTTATAGTACTTACGCTTATACACTTAATTTGTGATTTATTTCCATACATAATGTAAAGTAGATGTCATTATTATTTTCTTTGAAATGGACAGCTTATTGATTTAACACTATTTAAGTTTCATCTTTATTGACTGGTAATGTTATCTCCCACAAAATAATATGTATTTACCTATACTTGGATTTGTTTCTCCACTCTCTATTCTATTCTTTGTTCAGTTTTTTTAGTGTGTAAATGTTATATCATTTTTATTGTCATAGCCTAATAACAAGTTTTAATATCTGGTACAGCAAGTTCTTTGGCCCTCCCCCTTATTGTGTAACTTCTAGACTTTCTTGGCAATTTTCATGTAATTATTCTTCTATCCATATCATCTTAGAGTCATTTATTGCATTACTCCCAAATGCTGTTGCGATTCTAAATGAAATTGGAGCACAATTATGTATTCATTTACAGAAGCTGGCAATTTTATGATAATTGCGAATTTGTATTCAAGAACATAGTTTTTCAAAGTATTCAGTTCTTTTTTGCGTCCCTCATTACATTTTTATAGTTTTGCTGTTATTTTGATTGGGTTATTTATTATATTTTCCATTTCAACAACTATTTCTAAAGTAAATAAAATTTATTAATTTTGTCGGTTTTTCTTTTATCCAACCACCTTATTAACTGTTTTTACTTCTGCAGTAGCTTTTTCAGGTAAGTCTTCAGGATTTTCTAAGTCTTCTATAATTTTATCTTCAAATAATGATAATTTTTATCTTTCTTTAAGGTTTCTGGTGTTTCCAAATTTTTTAGAAAAACTGATTTTTTTAATATGCCTACGGCAAAAATTTGAAGGAAATGCAGTTTATTTTTATATTTCTATGCCAAAGATGGTTGACAAATTTGGTTGCCTTTCCTATACTTTTCTCACTTCAACATACTCACACCATTCACCCTAGTTTTTTCATTTATATATAAAATTTTGATCTAGTTACACTTAAAGTTGGTACTTACGTTCTGCCAAGTGTATGCAGTTGCTTCTGCTTCATAAAATGAAATCTCAACGCATAAGAAAACGATCCCAATTACAGTCACAGCTGTACTTATGCTGTTCATTACAATTGCTGAAATAATCTGTAATACACAAAGAAAAATTTGCCAGAGACAGCATAAGCAGATTTTGATGAAGCAATCAGGCTGTCATACTGACTAGAATATTTAGGATGAAGTCCTTAAAAATCTGACTTTCTGAAATCATAACAGTGGTTGGTATCAGGACTCTGCTTCAAATTTGTTTGGAAGCCAATAGGATAATTTGTTTCTCAGAAGAGGCTTTTATTTATTCCTTCAACAAGTAATCACACAGTGCCTGCGATGTGCTAAACATTATGCTAGGGATAGCACCAGGTTTCTACTCAAGGAGCTTACAATCTAATGGGAGAGAAAAGTTATAAACACTCTAATTTCATTTAATAAAACTTAATAAATGATGGATAAGCTTCAAGTTTGGGATTTGTCCTTATCATTCCTCCAGTAATGCCACTTTACTACTTAAAACCTTTCAGTGGTCCTCAACTTCCTTCAAGACAGCGTCCACACTCTTTGAACCTGAGGGCCTGACGTGAGCTGTGAAAAAAGGCTGTGCTCCTTTGAGAAGGGGCTGCTGCGTGTATTCTATATGTATGTGTGAGGGATAGTTACAGGTTAAAAGGAGTTTTTTCTTCTTGTCATTTGTTTGTTTTGTAATCACGGGAAGAAGGGTAGGATTTGATGCTAGTCAACAAAAGAAAAACGACTTAAGTGAACGCATACATTTTTGGTTGGCTGGCAGACAGCCCTCTTATCCTATTTTGAGGGCTCTCCTTATTGAGTTAGTTTTTATGAAAGAAGTTTATCCAACTTCTGCTATGAAAGCCTGAAGAGGGAGGTCCTTCCTCTATCCAGTCTTTTATAGCCATGGCCAGGGAATGGCCAAAAAAATTTTCCTCTCAAAAATTGTGGGTGTTAAGCAAGTGACTTAAAGGTGAAGAAAATACTGACATTCATTTTTAGCAGAGATATCTGTGATGTTATGCAGTGTGGGCAATAGTGACCTTGAGTGCCAGAGGACAGCTATGATATCTTGTGACGATATAAGCCTGGCATCTTCCCAGTAGATCCTGTCTTTGCTTAATCTAGCCAGATTCAGTAAGCAATAATGGGAAAAATTGGGAGAGTGTATTATGGAATAGAGAGTAGTGTGTACAAAATTTCAGAAGCATGGAAAAGCAGGTATTCATGGAAATATCTTCACTAAGCTTAATCATTTCTAGCTTTTGATTGAAAGTGACAGATGTGTGACTGTTCTTTTCACTTGAACAGTGAGGAGCTGCTGTTGGGTTATCATCTGGCCTAATTTCAGTTGTGTCTTGGGGAATAGGGAAGCTCAAGGAGAGTGAGAGAGATGGAGGAACAGCTGGTTGGTGGAACAGTCATAATACACGCAACCTTGATCAGCTCAGTTTACCATCTTGTATGGGCACGGTTTGTAGTACCCCAAAGCAATTACAATGGTAACATCTAAGATCACTGATCACAAATCACCATAACAAATATAATAATTATGAAAAAGTTTGAAATATTGTAAGAATTACCAAAATGTGACAGAGGCATGAAGTGAGCACATGGTGTTGAAGAAATGGTGCCAATAGACTTGCTTGATGCACAGTTGCCACAAACCTTCAATTTGTAAAAAAAATGCATTATCTGTGAAGTGTAATAAAGTGAAGCACAATAAAACAAGTTATGCCTATATACCATAGCCAAGTGAGATCTATTCCACAAATGCAAGGTTGGTTTAATTTTCCAAAATAAATTAATGTAATATGTCATATCAATAAAATAGGAAAAAACCCCACATGTGATCATCTCAATAGATGTAGACAAAGCATTTGGTGACAATCCAGCATCCTTTCGTGATAAAATCATTTCAAAAACTAGGACTAGATGGGATATTTCTCAACCTGATAATGGGTATCTAATAAAAACCCACACTTAACATACCTATTGGTGACAGACTGGATGCTTTTTTCCTAAGACAAAGAACAAGGATCAAGACAACAATATACCCTCTCATCACTTCTATTCAAACCTCATATTAGAGGTTCTAGCCAGGGCAGCTAAGCAATGAAAAGAAACAAAAGGCTTGCTCAAGGAACAAGTAAAACTATATTATTGATAAATTACATGTTCTTGTATATAGAATATACTAAGGAATCCACTAAAAACCACTAGACATAGTAAATGAGTTTTGCAAGATTACCAGATACAAGACCAATATACAAAAGTCAATTGTATTTCTATATACTTGTAATTAACCATCCAAAAATAAAATTAAAGAAGCAATTCCATTTACAATAGCATCTAAAAGAATAAATACTTAGGAATGAATTTAACAAAGGAAGTGCAAAACTTACTCTGAAAACTAAAAAGCATTATTGAAAGACAAGTGGAAAACATGAAGACTTAATATTGTTAAGGGCAATATTCCCAAAATTGATATACAGATTCAATTCAATCTCTTTCAAAACCCAAGTTTGTTTTTCTTGCAGAAATTGACAAGTTGATCCTAACATTCATATGGCATATCAAGGGACCCAGAATATCCAAAAAAATCTTATGAAAGAATAAAGTTGAAGAGCTCAGTTTCCTGATTTCAAAACTTACTTACAAAGCAACAGTAATCAAGACATGTGGTACTGGCATAAAGATAGACATAAAGATCAATGGAATAGAATTCAAAGTCCAGAAATAAACTTACAAAGGTGGCAAGATAATTTAATGGGGCAAAGAACAGTCTTTTCAACAAATGGTGCTTAGACAACTGGAAATTCACAAAAATTCACACACACACACACACACACACACGCAAAAGAATGAAATTGGACCATTTTATCATACCATTAATAAATATTAACTCAAATATCTAAGAGCTGAAACTATAAACTGTCTGTAATGAAACAGGAATGAATTTTCATATCCTCAGTTTTTGAAACAGACTATTAAATATAACACCAGAAACACAAACAACAAAAGAAAAATAGATAAGTTGGACTTCATCAAAATTACATACATAATGAGTGAGATGTGCACCATCTGGGGGATGGTCATGATGGAGACTCAGACTTGTGGGGGGGGGGGAAATGGGCATTTATTGAAACCTTAAAATCCGTACCCCCATAATATGCCAAAATAAAAAAAAAATTAAAAACTCCTATGTTTCAAAGGAAACCTCAGAATGGGAAAATATTTGCAAATCACATATCTGATAAAGGCTTGTGTCTAGAACTTATAAAAACTCTTAAAACTCAATAATAAAAAGGTAAATAACCCAGTTTAAAAGTGGACAAAGGACTCGAATAGACATTTCTCCAAAGAAAATATACAAATGGCCAATAAACATATGAAAACATGCTTGATATCACTGGTCATTGGGGATATGCAGATTCATACCACAATGAATTACCACTTCAAACCTATTGGGATGGCTATAACCAATGGTAAGGTGATAAGTGTTGGCAAGGTTATGGAGAAATAGGAATCCTTACATACTACTGGTGGAAATGTAAAATGGTGTTGTCACTTTGGAAAATAGTCTGGCTTTTCCTCCAATGGTTAAACAGAGTTGTCATATGACCTAGCCATTTTCTTCCTAGTTACATATACCAAAGTACTGAAAGCTTATGCTCAAACAAAAAATTTTACACAAATGTTTATAGTAGCATTATTCATGATTATTCATTATTCATAATAGCCAAAAGGTGGAATCAACTCAGATGTCCATCAACTGATGAATACATAAACAAAATGTGGTATACCCACATTATGAAATATTATTTGGCCATAAAAAGAATAAAGTATTGATACATGCTACAATATGGATGAAATTTTAAAACATTACATTAAATGAAAGGAGTTGCAAAAAATTGCATATTTATAATTCTTTTCTTAAATTAAATGCCTAGAATAGGCAAATCTATGGAAACAGAAAGTAGATTAGTGTTTGTTTAGGGCTGGGAAGAATTGGGGGTTGGGGATGAGAGTGATAGCCAAGGGGTACAAGGTTGCTTTTTGAGATGAGAAAATGTTTTAAAATGGATTGTGCTGATAATTGCACATATCTATAAAATAATAAAAACCATTAAGTTGTATACTTAAAACTCAATTAAGATAATAAATACTTAACTATATAGCTAGAGATTTTTCCAGGTTAACATTAAAATAAATACATATGTTTTCAGAAAGAAAGAGTTGTTGAACTCAAATATCTGCACCTTAAAAGGGTGTATGTTAATGTATGCTAAACATAATTTTAAAATTTTGGGTGCAAAAGAAATACTTTACATTTATTTTCTGCTTTAATTTGAAAACATACACATGAATAAATATAAATATTGTACTCCTTAGAACATGATAAACCAAGAACTTTACAATTAAAAATATTTATTACTTCCTCCTCTTCTTCCTATTTTTCATGTTGGAGTACCCTAGGGCTCAATTCTTATTTCTCCTTTCCTCTTTGCTATGCTCACCCCATTGAAGATCTAAGCAACTCTTGCGGCTTCAAATATTACCTTCATGTCTAAGATTCCCAATTCAATCCATCCAATTCCTCAAGACAAAAACTTAATTTTAATCCCTACTTTCTTTTTCTCGCATTCTTCCCCCATTAGGAATTCTTCTTGGTGTTACCTTCAAATATATCCAGAATCCAAGCACTTAACATCCCCCTCTACTATGTCTATCCTGGTCTGAACCACCATCATTTTAAAGCTCACGACAATAGCCTTGTAACTGGCTTCCCTGCTTCTTACCTGAACTCCTTTATACACAATTCTCAGAGCATTTCAGCCAGATTGATATTTTCAAAACACTCTCTGCACCATTTCACCCCTCAAAATACTCCAATCTCTCTACATGAGCTGTGAGCTCTGGCACCTTTAGCACACTGACCTCATGTTCTGCCACCCTTCCCCAGCTACACTGCCACTGCCACTGACCTCCCTGCATGCCATGGCTTTTCCAGTGGTTCATCTCTTTTCTTGGAGTGCTGTTCACTCTGATATTGGCATTGCTAATTTTCTTACCTTCCTCAA